GGGAGTTATGAATTGCGTACCTTTTAACTGGCTTCATCGAAACCGATATATATTCTCATGAGCCTAAGCCACTTAACATGAGTTGACTTGGCCCTAACGGTTTAGATCATGCCAGTTTGGGCCTTAGCCGACTTGGACTTATATTATTATCTTTAGTCGATTTGGGCTTGGTTTGTGTGCCTCCATGGGCTTGTCGATATGGGCCTTTGGGTGTGGACCCATCACACCTATTTGCTAGTCGCTATTAGGGTTTTATATCATCATCAGCCGAAACTCGAGGTGTTTTCCAAACATGCCCTTATACCTGAAACTCAAGGTATAACTTGGAAGAGGTAAGAGCTTCTCCGATCATCGTGATGCTATCAACAATAAATTATCTTGAATCACCTCAAAATAAACCTCGAACATGCAATAATTCTTCGAGAACCAAAACAAAGTGTTGTGTGAAAAATACACGTTAGGGCACCGGAATTTGGTTCTGTTGAAAGCCCTCCGATATTTAAGTCGGTCCAAATCAGAGAGATTTTCTCTCGAAGTGTAAGAAAAATATTCTACCGTAAAGATGACAATGACTGTAATGATAATTGAACTATTTATATACTGAATTAATTTACGAGCCTGAAATATTAAATTGCGTTGTAACTTATAGTTGGACATCTTATTTATAATTATAATAAGTATCATAAAGGGCAACATAAATTTGCCATTCATCATATATATAATTGGCAGGAAGCTATCATCATCACACATGAAAAATAAAATAAAATAAAATAAAATAAAGAAAAATAGTCATAAACAAGAATGACTAGCAAAACATGGCCGACACCATAGACACATATCAAACACACACACACACACACACACACACACACACACACACACACACTATGGGTGGAAGAAAATAGGGTTATATATATATATATATATCCAGCGGCTAGGGCAAGAGGACAAACACTGTAATTAGAGGGCTCCACCTTCTGGTTTGTTTGATCTATTTATTTGACCTTTAATTTCAACGAAATACAATACATATATATATATAAATGTATATCTATATATGTATGTATGTATGTATAATATGTATGCCTTTCTTCCCTTATATGGAGAAACAAACTCATACTCATGCTACAACTGTGAATTCTTATTGCCACTAATATGTTTTGACTTTTGACTACTAGTTTTGGTCAATAGTAAATTTTGGTAATTAAAATCATCATCAATTTTTCACAAGCTTAAATTAAATGATGACTCGTTAAGAAAATATTCAATTCATAGGTTATTGAGGTGAGAGAATATTTTTTATTTTTATTTTTAAGTTTGTAAGAAACTCTCAAATTAAATATTCAATTTATATCACTAAAGTTGGACTTGTGCATGTGCACATATATTAAAAATTAAATAATTGGCTTCTTTGTCACATTATCATGTTACTTATTTATTCTTTAATTTTGATGATTTGTTTTGTGAGTTAATACTTTTTTATGTTCATGCATGGTATTGGTCTCAAATTTCAGTTTTTCTTGACTTTCTTGAAAATCCTTCGTATCGTTGACTTTTTCTATCTCCATGTTGGATTTTAGAATCATATAAAATTCTCCGAATATAATAACCCATTTTCGAGCGTGTTTCCCAGGCCACATACAGTCGAGTTATTTACATTAAATAATTATTAACCGTGAAACGAGGTTAAATAACTATCCATTAAATACACATATCTGTGTGTAATTATGTACAGATTTATGATTAACAATCAATCAGTGTAGCATATAATTTTACAGAAAACTCCCTTAATAACAAAACAAAGATTGACAATTTAATTGGTCTAACTTGCAACACGTGACTACTTCGACTCAATTAGTATCATTTAATTTAGGAGAAATTGCAATAACCCCCTGACTCCCTGAGGTAAGGTATATTTATGAAATAATCTCTTATTTTTCCATAACTACATCCACTTCCTTGTAATTTGTAGATTTCTTACATTATCACCCTTTTGTAGGGGTGGATGTAAGAAATTTATAAACTACAGGGGCTGGATATAATTTATCAAAAATAAGGGTTTTTTTGGTAATTAAACATTACCGCAAGGAAGTGGTTCTAATTTACCCTTTAATTTATAACGTAGTTAGTAAAAAAAAATGCATCATACAATAGTTGCAATTTTTTTATTAAGGTGGTAAATTGCAAAAATGGATAAAGTACAGGTACCAAAATGCTATTAACTCTATTATAAAATAGTTACACATGGGGATATATATAAATTAAAAAGAGAATTGCTATTTGCGGTTTGAAATTTGCTATTTGCGGTTTTTAACAAAAAAATACTTTATTTCTCTAAAACCCCAAAACTTCCCAAAAAATCCAAAAACCCCCTCCAAAACGCGTAAAAGCCCAACTTGGGTGCCCATTCATGCAGTGCACGCCCAAGTTGGGCGTGCAAGCTGCATCTGGGTGCCCATCTTGGGCGTTCATTTAAAATATCTTGGGCCTTCCAACATTTTTTTGCGAAAAAAAAGCCCTACAAATCGATTTATAGGGTTTTTTAACACGAAATTGGTCCTGTAATCGACCTACCCAATGCATATTAAACATAAAAGAGTCGAAATTACATCAAAAAATCGAAACCCAACCCTTCTTCAAGCTTGATTTCGAATTTTCGAATGTTTTTTATTTTTTTGCTATTTGCAGTTTTGGGGGGTCTTTGGATTTTTTTGAAAGTTTTGGGGGATTTTGTTATAAATCGCAAATAGCAATTTTGTGACCGTAAATAGCATTTCATAATTAAGAAACAAGCAAATGTCTCTATTTCGTTCAATAATCCAAGCCATGAATGAACTCATGTTGAAAGCAAATTTAGAAAAAGAAAAGGAGAAAAAGGTAGAAGGTGGAGGGTATCTAAGTAATTTCACAAAAAACGAGATCTGCTTGTTGTCGCAAAGTCATTATCGCCAAGATATGTGAAAGCGACTCATAATATTTTATTCAACAAACAATTGTTATTACACATTACATGAATCTATAATTATATTTTCTCCCATAAATTAGATTGGCAATCGTACGTACCACTGAAATTAGCTCAGTCAGACAATTTTAATTTTTTTGAAGTAAAAATTAAATTCAATTTCATTACAATTTTCTTTTTTCAGGGAAAAAAATCAGACACAAAAATTTTGAAATCTAGAATGAAAAAACTTGATCCAAATCCATAAAGTTTTTGTTCGAAATCGACAGAATACATAATTAATATTTTCATAATCACTAATAGTAACAAAATAATAATAATAATAATAATAATATAACAACAACATAATTGTAAATTTGTAAAAAAAAAATGGAATACATAGAAATATTTAATTTTCGTAAATTAAAATTAGATTGAAAATTAAATCTATCATATTACAATTTCTAAAATAAATTCAAAAAATCAAAATCTAACCTTCACACAATTTGAAATAAAAAATGTTTTTAAAAAATATACGAAATATGCAAATAAGAATCAACAAAATTTATATATTTAAATAAATTACACCTACATTCCTTAGGTATTCTAATATAGCTTTAATGTCCCTGTAATATTGATAATTACAGCCATACCCCTAAAACAATTATCGGATCCAATATTTAATGTCCTGAGGACCAATACACTATATTCGTTTCTCACGGGCCGCTAATGCTATCATAGATGGAAATTTATAAATCTTGTAATGATTTAAGAAATGTCAGGAGAATCATGTCACCCCCGTAGCTCTATGCTGGCTCCACCACTGCCTGAAACTAATTGTCCGTTAAAACCCTAACGAAATAATTTATCCAATGCATTATTCCATTAGGGTTTCTAATAATATTTTAGGGGGTGTTTGTAATTTACCCTTTTATATATGATATATTTTTCTCCGAAAAAAACCATATAGAGAAAATAATAAAGTTGTTTAATAAAGAAAACCCCTAGAGAGAGAGAGAGGAGAGAGAGAGAGAGAGGAGAGAGAAGGTGGTTCCTACTATTATTTGTTTTGGTAAAAGGAAGGGGACAAGAGCGTATCTGCGAAAATCCTGAATTCGATTCATCTTGCTCTAAAAAGTAACCTATATATACATTTTTATATATCTCTCTCTCTTACCATACTCACACAGCTTTTAATAATAATAAAAATAAATAATAATTTAATTATTAAAATAAAATAAAATAATAATAAAGAAGAATAACAATTATCATCCCCATTAAACAAAGCTCTAGAGCCTAGGCTTCAACTGCACAAGAAAAACAGTGCATTGTATCCAGAATGTGTTTTCCTCTTTTCTTGATTAATAAATAAATAAATAAATAAATAAAATCACTAGTGTAGGGCTTGGTCAAAAAAATCAAATCTTTGGGCTAATTTTTTTTTGAATTTTTTTCTTAGGCGTGGAAGAATTTAAACGTGCTTCGTTTTGTCTGGTGTTGAAGAGATATACAGTGTTGTGGGTTTCTTTTGTTGTTTGTTTATTCACATTACTCTTCCTCTCATAAACCCTTTTTGGATTACCCCAAAAATCTTAGTCTAGAGAGAGAAACAGAGAGATAGAGAGAGAGAGAGAGAGAGGAGGTGGGTTATTTTTTTTCTTCGGAATTCGGACAAGGTTTCGTCTTTTGAGGGAGGTCTGCAATAAGGGCATGCTTTGTTCCTTCTTCTCTCCCATCATGGAATTAGTGAAAACATTAATTAAATATAATTAAAAGGGCTCTCTTTCCTTTTTTTTTTTCTTCTTTTTTTTTTTTAATTTAAGGGGTTTTTATTTTTATTTTTTTAAATTCTTGTTCTGGGTTGTTTTGTCCCTTTCCTTTTAGTGTGAAATGCAGATGATTCTTGAATCTTGAGCAATAGCATACAATTTTTTTTGTAGTAGTTATAGACTACTGGGGTTTTTCAAGATATCCCTTTTCTTGAATTTGCAATTGCAGGAAATTAAAGAAGAAGAATAAGTGGGTTTTTTTTTTTGAGGAATTGGAAAAAAAATACTAGGTAGGTTTTTTTTGTTTGTTGTAAGAGATGGGTGAGAAGAGACAAGGTTACCACACAGTGTCGGTTAGGGTGAACGAAGAGATGGCTTCAAAGAGAAGGTATTCTTACGTACACAGAGACTACCATCGCCGAATCCTGGGATTTTGGATCGTACTTTTGTTGTTCGGAAGTAAAGAAATCTACAATTGTTTGGACGACGTACAGAAAGAGAGACGAAAAGAAGCGCTTGTTAGCATGTGTGATCAAAGGGCAAGAATGCTGCAGGATCAATTCAGTGTTAGTGTTAACCATGTCCACGCCCTCGCCATTCTCGTATCGACTTTCCATTATTACAAGAACCCGTCTGCGATCGATCAGGTTCGAATTGTCGATTTTCTTCGGGAAAAAAAGAATAAAAATGCAATCTTTTTCGGTGGGTTGTTTGATTTGTTGACTTTGTTGTTTTGTTTTCTTTATTGTGTGTGTGTGCAGGAAACGTTTGCGGAGTACACAGCGAGAACGTCGTTCGAGAGGCCGTTGTTGAGTGGGGTGGCGTACGCGGAGAGGGTTTTGAATTCGGAGAGAGAAGAATTCGAGAGGAAGCACGGCTGGACAATTCGAACAATGGAGAAAGACCCTTCGCCCGTTAGAGACGAATATGCCCCTGTGATATTCTCTCAAGAAACTGTTTCCTACATTGAGTCGCTCGATATGATGTCGGGGGAGGTGAATTCTTTAATTCTTGAATTCTTGTTTTAATTTAGATGAATGATATATAATGTTGTGGGTTTTTTTTGTTGCTAATTTTGTTACTCTTTGTCGGAATAAAAAAGGAGGATCGAGAGAATATTTTGAGGGCTAGGGCAACTGGTAAAGCGGTTTTGACTAGCCCGTTCAGATTGCTGAACGATCACCTCGGTGTCGTTTTAACGTTTCCCGTTTATAATTCGAATCTTCCCGCCAACCCTACCGTGAGAGAGCGTATTGAAGCAACGGTTGGGTGAGTAATTAACGGTTTAGTGTTGATGTTTCGAGTAATTTTTTCGAATTTAAATTTGGATTTGGAGTAAGCTTGCTTGATTGGTTGAAAAAGTATTAATTTTTACAATTATAATTCAATACGCTATGTTAAGTCTTCCCCTGTTTTAATATGCTCCGGTCGATTGATTTATTGCAAATTTACGTGGGATGTTGTAAGAGAAATTCAATGTCTTGATTATGATTCGTAAATTGTTTATAAGGTATCTTGGTGGATCGTTTGACGTGGAATCCCTTGTGGAGAATTTACTCGGTCAACTCGCTGGAAACCAGGCGATTGTGGTCAACGCATACGACATTACCAATTTGTCCGATCCTTTAATAGTGTACGGTCATCAGTCTCAAGACGGTGGTGACATGTCGCTTAAGCACGTCAGCAGGTTTGACTTTGGAGATCCGTTTCGTAAACACGAGATGATATGTAGGTACGTACGTACGTCCTCCCAAACCCGTTTATAATTTTATCATCCTTAATAATAAGCCAAAAAAAATAAAAAATCTTATTTCTCGGATTTTCCGATAATTTTGCAGGTACCTTGAGAATGCTCCTACACCATGGTTTGCACTCACGACAACGTTCTTCGTTTTTGTGATCGGATTTTTACTTGGATACATGATATACAGTGCAGCAATCCACATTGTTAGAGTCGAAGATGATTTCCACACGATGCAGAAACTGAAAGATAGGGCTGAAGATGCTGACCTGGCGAAATCTCGGGTTCCGATATTCACTCCCTCTGTTCCTCGTTCGTTATTTTTTTTTTCACAATTCTGTAACGGTCTGATTTTTTGTTTTCTTTTTCTGTCGTTGCAGTTTTTAGCGACGGTTTCTCATGAAATAAGAACTCCCATGAATGGCATCTTAGGTAAATTTCGAGTATTTATTTTTATTGATTAAGATTTATCTCATTTTTTAATAGGGGGTGAAAATACGACTCGTTTCTTTGTGCATGCATGCAGGCATGCAGCAACTATTGCTAGACACAGACCTAAGTTCAACGCAAAGAGACTACGCGCAAACGGCACAAGCTTGTGGAGAAGCACTTATAACTTTGATAAACGAAGTGCTCGATCGGGCTAAAATGGAAGCTGGAAAGCTAGAGCTCGAGGCGGTGCCCTTTGACCTTCGGTCAATTCTTGATGATGTTCTGTCCCTTTTCTCCGAGAAATCTATGCAAAAGGGCGTTGAGGTAATTTTGCAGATCAGAAAAAAATTACGCATAGCGTATCTATTTCTCTTTAGTTTGAAGTCTAAAATAATGTAATTAACTAGATGTGCAGTTGGCTGCTTTTGTTTCAGATAAAGTACCGGAAATTGTAGTGGGGGATCCCGGAAGATTCAGACAGGTCATCACTAATCTTGTCGGAAACTCGGTAAAAGTAAGCAATTCATTCGAATTCTGCTTTTCTTTTTTGGTATTTATTACTACCTCCGTTTCCTTTTTAGTGTCACTTTAGAGTTTCGAGGCAATATTAATTACCTTTTTCAAACATTGCCCCAACATTAATGAGAAATTAAAGAAATGTGAAAGAAAAAGATGAAAAACCGGAAAAGGATAATTTGGTAAAATAATGATTTTTTTTCCACAAAAATTAAGAATATTTAATAACTTTCTTAATTGGTGTGCATTTACCTTAAAAGTAATCGAGCCACGTTGCTTATTCTTGTTCTTCTCTCTTTCTTTAAAAATTAAAATAAATATCAATCATTGTTTCGTTTTATGTTTGAACAGTTCACAGAAAAAGGGCATATATTTGTTCAAGTCCACTTAGCCGAAGAAGCGACTTCCGTCATGAATCTCGTGAAAACCGAAAACGGCGAAGAAACGGAGTTCAATACCTTGAGTGGCAAACAAGTTGCGGACGACGGGACTAGTTGGGAAACCCTAAAACTTCTAGACGACGAATTTCGCTCCAATAATATAACAACCGATCATAACAATCACCAAAATAACAGTAATAACGTCACATTAATGGTGAGTGTAGAAGACACGGGAATCGGTATCCCGGAAGATGCCAAAAGCCGGGTTTTCACACCGTTCATGCAGGCGGATAGTTCGACTTCAAGAAACTATGGTGGGACCGGTATTGGATTGAGCATAAGCAAGTTGCTCGTGAAGCTGATGGGGGGTTTTATGGACTTTATTACACGACAGCACATCGGGAGCACGTTTTTCTTCACCGTGGAATTTCAGAGGTGCGAGAAAACGGCGGTTGTTTTGGACGTGAAGAAGTCTCTGTCGGAAGTTTTTCATCCGACGGTGTTTAAAGGGATGAAAGCAGTTGTGGTGGATGGTAAACCGGTTAGAGCTTCCGTTACAAGGTATCATCTTAAGCGGCTTGGTATACAAGCTGAAATTGTCGCTAGCGTGAGGAATGCCGTCGCTTTGTTTGGTAAATTCGGCTCCTTCATTTCCATGTAAGTAGATCTCTCTCTCCCTCTCTCTGTAGATCTCTCATTGTCTCTCTCTCTCTCTGTAGATCTCTCTCTCTCTCTCTCTCTCTCTCTCTCTCTCTCTCTCTCTCTCTCTCTCTCTCTCTCTCTCTCTCTCATTTATACTGATTTTAAATTTCATTTTTGGGGACAGAAACGAAAAGCTGCCAGATATGTTTCTAATCGAAAAAGATTCATGGCTTTCGGGTGAAGAAGAGTGCTTTATCCAGTTATCGAACAACTGTCGACAAAACGGGCACTCGTACAACAAGCTGCCTAAGTTGATCCTTCTTGCAACAAATATCAGCTCTGCTGAGTCAGATAAAGCCAAAGCGGTTGGCTTTTCCGATACGGTGATAATGAAGCCACTGAGAGCTAGTATGGTTGCTGCTTGCTTGGAGCAGGTACTGGGAGTCAACCGAAAAAGTCAACCCGTGAAAAAGTCAACCAGTCTTCATGGTTTGCTATGTGGCAAGAAGATATTGGTCGTCGATGACAATGCAGTGAACCGAAGAGTTGCTGCGGGTGCACTGAAGAAGTTTGGTGCTGATGTACATTGCGTTGAGAGTGGGCCCGATGCTCTCAAGTGTCTTCAGATTCCGCACGATTTCGACGCGTGTTTTATGGATATTCAGATGCCTGAAATGGACGGGTAATTTCGTAATTTAACATTTTTCCCAGCTTATTTTTCTTGCAATTTTTTTCGTAGTAATATGTTTTTTGGGTAAATTACCTAACTCTCCCTGAACTATGGTCTAATTACGCAAAACACCCTCACGTATTCATAATTACCAGAAACCCCCTCTGAACTGTGGTCTAATTACCAGAAACCCTGTTATGTATTTCTTTTTCTTGCATTTATTTTGGGTAATTTACAAAAGCCCCCCTGAACTATGGTCTAATTACCAAAAAACCTCTCTGACCAACAGTTGACCAATTTTTTTGTTTCGCGTCGTTGTACTGCAGGTTTGAGGCGACTCATCTGATAAGGGAGATGGAGAGAAAAGCGAACGCACATGCAAATGGTGGCGACGAGTGGCATATGCCTATATTGGCAATGACCGCTGATGTCATACACGCCACCTTGGACAAATGTCTGAAATGCGGAATGGATGGATACGTGTCGAAGCCTTTCAAGGAGAAGACTCTTTATCAGGCTGTAGCTAAGTTCTTCAAATCTAAGCCCGTCAGTTGATCTCGATTTTTATTTTTTATTTTTAACTCTGTTTTCTAACCGACTAGAATATTCGTGTTTGTATATATATACATTGGTAAGACAAGATTGCAATAGATGTAGTTCATATTTGAGGTGGTTCGGTGCGAAATCTTTGATAAAGAAACTGCATTCTTTCTTTCGTATGTATGTAGTAGTAGTGATTGTTCAGTTGTAGAGAGAATTAGTGGAGAAATTGTTGTTTATATGCCAGTGCTTTTAGTTTGTTGCAAGTATAATTACTAAAATACCCCTTCTTTTGTAGAAACTACATCCAGTCGCTTGCGGCTTGTGTTTTGTAAATTTCTTACATCTACACCCTACATAAGGGTGTTAATGTAAGAACTCTACAAAGTTCAGGGAGTAGATTTAATTATGGAAAAATGCAGGGTTTCTTCATTAACAGAACTCAACTCAACTCAGGGGTCGTTATAATTTACCCATAATAAAACCAAGAAACTGCGAAATATGTAGCAATATACAGAAGAAAACATCAGTAAACAAACTGCAAACCGGTTAAGTTAATACGTACCATGTGCCAAACTTTGTCTCAAGACTGAATAAATATAAACGATTTTTCGGTCAATAGACTCGAAAGATTTCGAAAGCTTAGAAGTGGATTGACAATCTTGATCACTCCATTTCAATCGAACCCGGCAATGCAGATTCTGACAACCAACCCTGTCACCTTTAAAGGCTGCCGTTGGAATAGACTCGTATGAAAACCTTCAATGGTTAAATCTTCCAAATATTGCTAGATTTCTCAGTTTCCACTCTCTCTCATCTTTTCGATTTTGTAGACAAACTCTCCGAGTTCCTTTAGTTTCCTTTCTTTGTTCCAACTACCTCGCGAGAACCAGTGAGGCCTTATTTTCCTCGGACGACAAATACAAAACAAACTATTTAAAACATATGGAAATGAAGGTGAATGACCGATATTGAATTCCAAATGCTCCACCACAACAAGCTTATTATCACCATTAATAGTTTCGTGTACTATAATATCTTCTTCAATTTGCACATTGTCAACGGAACTAAGATAAATAGTCAGAAAAATTTTTGACTGACGTAAAGCCTGAAGCAATTTACTTGGCCCGAATAGTCAAAATACTCTAAGCTTGGGGCATCAATACATAATAGCTGAGATTGGAAAAGGACAGCATACAACGTAAAAATGATCTGTCATCTATGATTCTAAAAGCTTAGAAGTGGACTCACAATCTTGATCACTCCATCGCAATCGAAACTGGAAACGGTCAAAGTCCAGCAGTGCAGATTCTGACAACATCGTCGTCACCTGTAAATTCTGCCATTTTCGTCGGCTCTCGTCAAATCCTTCAACGGTTAAATCTTCCAAATCTTGCCAGATTTCTTGGTTTCCACTCTTTCTCATCTTTTGGATCTTGCATAAAACCTTACCGACTTCCTTCAGTTTCCTTCTTTTGTTCCAATTACGTTCTTGCAAGAACCAGCTCGGAGTTATTTTTCTCGGACGACAAATACAAAACAAACCATTCAAAACAGACATAAACAAAGGTAAATGATCGATTTTCAGAACCAAATGATCCACCACAACAGGTTTATTACCACCATTAATAATGTCTTGTACTAGAATATCTTCTTGAATCTGCACATTGTTCCTGGAAAGTTGCCCGATATTAAGAAAGAGTTTGGAGCTACGTGAAGACTGGATCAGTTTACTTAGTCTGAGTAACCACGACTGAGCATCATCTACATCTCGAATAAACAGTCTGAAATTTGACGTCCTGGTAGTTGGTGTGAAAACGACGGACGGGATTACAAATCCCGAATAGCGAAAGGACTTTATGTTGGGGGCATCAATACATAGCTGAGATTGTCGGATCGAATTACTAAAGGCAACCACCCGCTGCAGATTTAAATCCTTTAGATTACTGAACTTATGGCCGTGAAACTGAATCCTAGTGTCGAAAATCATGAGTGTTTCGAGTGTTTCGAGAGTTGGGGCGTCGATTTCGATGATGGTTTCTTTTCTTTTGATAGCCGCGGCCTTGCTAAAATAAAAGTGCTTGAGATATTGTTGAAGCTTCTTCTCCAACTTGATAGTTTTCAACCCCTCACAGTCTAGGAATAACATAGTAGTAAGCAAAGGGCAGCTCGAGATTATCTTGTCAACAATCTCATTCTTGATCAACACATTGCAAAGTTGAAGTTCTTGTAGACGCACAAAGGGTATATTCTCGGGAATATTCTGGCCCAAGTTGCAATTATACAGCCACAAAAGCGTGAGGGATTCCGCTTTAAGGACTACGTGCAGATCGATGATTCCCCGAACACTTTGTTCTGCAATAATAGAAAGCTGAAAATCCTTTACGCCCATACTTGTGAGTAACGGGATCCATTTATCGAAAAACAAGACCGATTCCTGATCAGCAGAATCATCGCCTAGCATGCAAAGGCGAAATTCCTCCAAGCACAGCCTTTGATTACAGTAATGCTGTAAGGTCTTGTCCACAACAGATAGAAATTTGGTTTTGTCACCTTTGAAGGACTTGTGTGAAAAATCGAGATTGGGGCGAGTACACCAAATGTAGCGCCATGATTTCGACAAGACAGATGTTCGGACAGCATCTTTTTGGGAGAGGAAATACAGAATTCTATGCAAAATCTCTTTCGGCAACTCGGATATTCTGTCCATGGAGTTGGAGCCGTCTTCCCCCTTTCCCTTTTTCCCCTGCGTGTAAGAAACCCTAGTGAAATTAACTCGGGAAACCATATCTATAATCTATATACAATAAAATATTTTACGGGTAAGGCTGGAAATCGGACTGATCAGAAACAAAAAATCAACCGGAATTATAACAAAAATTGTTCTACTTTCGGTTTGAGAAAGGAAAGAAAAAAGCAAAACCTGGAAATTGGGGAAATTGACGATTGAAACACGGATAACTAGCGACGGCGACGGCGAATATTTGCAGAGAGAAGGACGGCGGTATACGATAGCAACTCCGGCGATTTTGAGAGAAAAAGAACGGTGGTATTAGGTTTTGTGAAGATTGATTTCAGCGAAGAAATTAGTACAAGAAAAAAAGGTACAGCCGTACAGCAGAGCTTGGGAAAATTAGGTAGCCGGCGCTGGATGCGTGAACGGAGCTGTTGAAAAAGTACTTTCGAAATAACAGTTCAGTCCTCATACTTAATGTTTATTGTCATTTAGTCATTTCAAATTCATAGACCCAATCTAAACCAAAATGTTTAGGACAAAATGCGCCTTCGCTCCTTATAAATTTTCCAGATTTGCACTATCCGTTTTACGGAATTCAAAAAACGAGACAGACTCCCCTTTAAAATATTGTTCAGGTTGCACTTTGCTCCAAAATCCAATTTACAATGGGCAACATGCAACATTGTAACATTTTAAATGGACAATGTACGACAATAATATTATTTGAAGGGGCATCGTCCAGTAAAAATAACATTTTAAGGGGTAATGTGCAATGAAAAAATACTCAATTTCGACGAGTAACCATCGGAATTTGGCTATCGGGGCAACATGCAACAATAAATAACAAATTGAAGGGGCACTCATTTTTGTCAATTTTGAGGGGTAAAGTGAGAAACCTGGAAATTTATAGGGGTGGAGTACAATTTGCCCCATATGTTTATGTTAACTCTTAATTATTTTTTTAATATCTACAGAACTTTTACATGATCTTATGCGAATACCACCTAAAAATTGTATAATATTTCTTTTTTTTTTTTTTTTTTTTTTTTGAGTAAATTGTATAATATTTCTAAATACTTCAGAATATTTTTGGAAAAAATAGGATTTGTTATTTTAAAATTAAAATAGGATTGGAAATCGGAACTTCTAGCTTTATAGGACAAAATGCACTTAACTTCCTACAAATTTTCTATTTTGGCATTCCCCCCCTAAAAATTCAAAAAAGGAATAACCCTTCCCTCGAAATATTATTTTGGTTGCACTTTGCCCCAAATACCAATTTTTGGCGGGCACCGTTGACAAAAAATAACATTTTAAAGGGGCAATGTTCATAAAAATAATATTTTTAGAGGGCACTGCGCAACAAAAATAATATTTAAAGAGGCAACGTGTAACAAAAACACTCAATTTCGGCGAATAAACCATCGGAATTTTGTTATCGGGACAATGTGCAACAAAAATAACATTTTGAAGGGGACATTCACTTTTTAAATTTATAGGAAGTAATGTGCAAAAATTAGAAATTTATAGGGGGTGACATGCAATATGCCCGGCTTTATATTTAGAACAAAATGCACTTCACCTCCTACAAATTTTTCATTTTCGCACTTTCCCCCCTAAAAATTCAAAAACTGGATAATCCCCCATCAAAATATTATTTTGGTTGTACTTTGCCCAGAAGCCAATTTTTGATGGGCATTGTGCAACAAAAATAACATTTTGAAGGGGTGCAAAAAGATAATGTTTTTAAGGGGTAACGTGCAACAAAAATAACATATAAAGGGACAATGTGCAACAAAAATACTCAAATGTAGATGACTAATCCATCAAAATTTTGATATCAGGGCAATGTGCAACAAGAATACATTTTAACGGGGGATATTCACTTTTAAAAAATTTGAGGGGGTAAAGTGCAAAAATTAGAAATTTATAAGGGGTGACGTGCAATTTTCCCTTATATATATATATGAAAAAACACTACAGAGACACTGCTGTTAAGAGCAGAGCCATGTTACAGAATTTTGTCCCAAATTCAATAAATAGATATAAATATAAAAATGATTATTCGTCTAAATATAAAACGTGGGAATCTTGCGAAAACTCGAATCACTCCATTTCAATCGATAGCGGATACGACTAATGTTTCGCAATTCAGATACTAACAAAGTCGCCATCTGTACAGGCTGCCATTGTTGTCGACTCGTATCGAAACATTCGATGCTCAAATCCTCCAAATCCCGTAAGGTTTCTCCGTAATCTCGTCTCTCTCTGATATAGCGAAAATACTCAATCAGTTGCTTTTCATTCCACGAACCACCTCGCATCAACAAGTGCTGAGTTATTTTCCTCGGACAACAAATACGAAACAAACCATTTAAAAAATACAGCGACGCGGATAAATCGACGGAACTCAACTCCAAATGCTCGACCGCAACAGGTCCGTTGCCGCTACAGTCGAAAATGTCGTGTACTAGAACGTCTTCTCGATCGTGCGCGATCCGATAATGCGTGAACTGAACAAAATCGAGAGAAATTTCGGACGGGCTTAAAGCTTGGAGCAGTTTACTTAGTTCGACGAACCACAACCGAGCGTCTTGTACATCCTGAATGTAGAATCGTACGTGCGACGACCTCCACTCGTTCGAGGTCGGTGCGAAAGAGATGGACGGGATGAAGTTCCCGTTGTACTCGAAATGGTTTATGTTTGGGGCATCGATGCATAATTCGATCGAATCGGTACAGCTACTCAACCACCAGTTTATCGACAGAGACTTCAGATTACGGAAGTGGTGTTCGCCGAACCGAATCTTGCTGCCGAAAATCTTGATTGTTTCGATAGTCGGGGCGTCGATTTCAACCATGAGTTTGTTGTTTACGTAAGTGTAGCAGCCGATGAATGTGAAGTGCTTGAGATATTTGTGAAGCTTATTCTCCAGCTTTATCGTCTTCAACCCCCGACACTCGTGGAACCACATAGTAGTGAGCAAAGGGCAGCTCGAGATTATCTTTTCGAAAACAATCTCGTTCTCGAAAAAGATATTCTCGAGACGGAGTACTTGTAGACTGCCGAAAGGTATATTCTCGGGGATCTTTTCCCCCAGCTTGCATTTTTTCAGACAGAAAAAAACGAGGGATTCGGCTTTAAAGACTACTGACGACAGATCCACGAACTCGTTTGAGAGAATAGAAAGACGGAACTCCTTCACGCCCATACTTGTGAGTAACGGGATCCATTTGTCGAGAAGCGAAACGGACTCTCGATCCGAGTAATAGTCGCCTAGCAGCGATACGGAGAGGTGAAATTCCTCTAAGCACAGCCTTTGGTCACGGTACAGCTGTAAAGTCTTGTCGACAACGGTTAGAAATTCTTGTTTGCTTCGTGTGAAGTTGGGGTGTGAAAAATCGAGATCAAGATTGGTGCGAGTAGACCAAATGTTACGCCATGATTTGGACAAGACAGATGTTCGGACAGCATCTTTTTGGGACACGGAATAAAGTATTTTATGCAAGATCTCTTTTGGCAACCCCGATATCATGTCTATTGACTTGGGACGAGCTTCGTCCTCTTTGGCCTTTTTCATGCCTCCAATCAACCCTAAATTGAAAATTTTACAAAGGCTAATTACGAATAAAATCTTCTCGATCACATAAGAAAAACCATTTTTTTTTATTTTTTTATTTATGTTTGATAACCTTATATCTGATTAGTTGTGATTGATTTTGATTTCAAGTGTTCGAATCCATTTTGACAAGCTCGAGCTCGAGCTGTTCGAGTATTTATTTTTGGTATCGAGCTCTTAGCCATTTTGTGTCTTTTAAAAAAAAAAAAAGCTCGTGAGCTGGCTCGAGAGCTCACGAACAACTAAGAATGAGAACAACTAAGAATGAGATCAGCCTCGACTCGTTAGAAATCTCGAGCTCGAGTTCAAGCTTTTATGAAGCCGGCTGAGCTCATTTACATCTCTAGTTATATTGATGTTATGTTTAGAAATGAAAAGATAACAAACTTACAAAAAAGAAAAGAAAAAACAATAAGGATTATTTTTAGCCATTTTGCCCCTTTAATATACTCTTAATTAGGGTTTACAGTTTATACATTAAAAAGGTTAACAAATCTCAGAAATATTTGAACAATTTTGTAATTAATAAACGTATGAAATTCACAACACACAAAATCAACATTGACATTAACGATAAAAAATCATCCTATAATTAATTTATCTCAATCACAGCAAAACAAAAAATCTAAAAAAAAAAAAGAAGGAAAATGAAAAACTTACCAAACCAAATGGAGTCCGGCGGAGAGAAGTAGAGAAAAAAAATAAAGGGCCCTTTATCAAATTGAATATTGTATATAACTGAATCTTGCGTCTGTGCTCACAATTTTTACGGATCCAAAATATATATACACTATATATATATATATATATATATGGTCGTGGATACTCGAAATACTCATTTCACCAAGTGTAAGACCAATTAAAAGGAAGATGAAATGACTATATACCCATCATTTGTTTTCCTATGAGTAATAGTAAAACTACGAAAACCCCTGTTGTTTGAATAATTATATCTACCCTCTTTAATTATGAATTTTCTTATACCTCCACTCTTATGGTGTCAAATTTAACATAATCATCTAGATCTCGTGAAATGTGCTCTAGTTTGTACTCGTTTTATGTAAAAATACAGTTTCTCATGCACCACAATCTGATATATACAAGACAAAAAACACATCTTGCTTCAAAACGTGGAGCTCAAATGGAATAAACCGGCTACAAAAGTGATAATATTCCATATAATCACGAAGATTCCACTAAATTTGTAACCTCAAAGGTGGAAGTGTAAGAAAATTTATAGTTGATGGGTTATTGTAATTACCCGAACAGGAAAGGGTTATTGTAATTACCCGAATATGAAGGGGATTTTCGTAATTTTATCATATCTCTGGAGTGGTTGTAATTTACCCTTGTTTATTTTATTGGGTAAATTACAAACACCCCCCTGAGGTATGGTCAAATTACAAAAACACCCCTATTGTTTGGATAATTACAACCACCCCCTCAACTCCTCAAATTTAGTGAAATCTTCGAGATTATATGGAATATTATCACTTTTGTACCCGTTTTATCTCATTCAAACTCTACATTATGAAGCAAGATGATCATAATATGTGATTTTTAGCTTGTATATATCAGTTTTTGGTGCATCGGAAACTGTATTTTTACACAAAACGAGTACAAACTAGAGCAAATTTCCCGGAATCTAGATGATTATGTTGAATTTGGCACCATAAGGGTGGAGGTGTAAGAAAAAATCATAGTTGAGGGGGGTAGATGTAATTATCCAAACAAGAGGGGTGTTTTTGTAATTTGACCATACCTCAGGGGGGTGTTTATAATTTACCCTATTTTATTTGTAAGACCAAAAAATTAAACAAGGTTTAAGTTAAAAAAAAAAAAACGGAAAAAGAAAATAAATTAGAGCAGAACCTGCAAGAGTGATGCAAGACCCAATCCTTTACCGCTGCCACCGTGATCCAATCCAGCAATCCAACACCGGAAAACCAAGCCCAAGCGTCTTTAAAAGGGCGAAAAATTAAATGGATTTTGTGAAAATCGAACTTTTTCATTGTTTTTTTTTTTTGGTTAAAATATTATTTAGAATTCACGTAGTCGTGAGATTATGCTTAATAGTCGATGATTTTGGGTTAAATTTGATTATTTTCGAACACTGTCGATCTACTACAGAACTCGATTTTGGATATATTTGCTTGACATGCAGTTCATCTAATGTCAATGTTTTTCGACATCAACCAGATGTCAAGTTTTGGGACAAAATTCGACATCTTAATGTCGAGTTTAAAGGACAAAATTCGACCTGTAAATGTCGAATCACGTCTGCACGATTTTTTAAAACGACAACCTAGTTAATAAAACACATTAATGCATACCTCGTTGGTTCTTTCACCGTAAAATCTTTCATTTTGATATTTTTTGACTTACTCCATGACAAATTTTTGTGGAGAATATGAGAATTGTTTTTGTGGCTAAATTTTTGTGGTTTTTTGGTGTATGATATGACATCAATTTTATTTTATTTTGTAACAAGTATTATAGTATTTGTACAGTGAAAAATTTAATTTGATTTTGCACTTGATGAAACTAGTATTGCAAATAGTCGTGAACTATACACTTTCTACATTTTCAGTTGTAGAAAGCCTTGGAGCTCTTGTCTTGTAAACAGGCTTAGAACTCCATTGCAGTCGAACCCCAAAACGATTTACTGCAGATTCTGACAACGTCGTCACCTGTAATAAGGGTTGCCATTCTAGTCGGTTCTCATCAAAACTTCAATGGTTAAATCCTCCAAATCTCGCCAGATTTCACGGTTTCTACTCTCTCTCATCTTTTCGATCTTGCAGAAAAACTCACCGACTTCCTTCTGTTTCCTTTCTTGTTCCAATTAAGTCCTTGCGAAAACCAGCTCTCGGACGACAAATACAAAACAAACCATTTAGAACAGATGGATATGAAGTTAATTGACCAATTTTTTTATTTTTTTTTCACATTGCCCCTTCAAAACATTATTTTTCTGCAACGTTGCCCCTTTAAAATGTTACTATTGTTGCACGATGCCCACCGAAAATTGGCTTTTGGAGCAAAAAAGTGCAACCAAAACAATAAATTCGAGGGGGTGTTGTTATCCCTTTTTTGATTTTTTTGGAGGGAAAATACAAAAATGGGAAATTTATAGGGGGTTAAGTGCCTTTTGTGCTAAATAAAACAATAAAACTAGTAAATATATAATAAAACTTGTGATTAAACAAACTAATGATCAAAAAACAAATTAAACCAAAAGAAAGACTATATATATGTTCCCAATTAAAAGCAATGGTTCATAATTCTGTTCCAAAGTCAATAAATAGATAGAAAAAAAAAGGGGAATAATAAATAAAGTAAAAGTAATCTGTCTGTCTATAATTCCAAAAGCTTAGAACTCGACTCACAAGATTCCCTCCATTTTAATCGAATGCAGATACGGTCAACGTCTAGCAATGCAGATTCCCATGAAATCGGCCCTCGTAAAGATAAACGTTTCCATTTTCGTCGACTATTATCCAAAATTCCAATGCTTAAATCCTCCAAGTCTTGGATTCCTCGTTCTCTGATAATGCAGAAATACTCAATAAGTTCCTTTTGTTCCCTCTTTATCAACAATTCTCCTTGCATTGTCGACCACCAGCGCCGAGTTATTTTCTTCGGACGACAAATACAAAACAAACAATTGAAAAAAGGCGGGAGTGACGATACATGAATACAATTCAACTTCAAATGCTCCACCGCAACAGGTTTATAATCGCCACCGCCTCCTTGTAGTACTAGAACGTCTTCTCCGACGTGCGCAATGTTATCGTCGGAATATTGAATAATTTCGAGAGAAATTTCGGAATTCGTTAAAGCTTGGAGCTGTTTGCTTAGTTTAACGAGGCACGATTGAGCATCTTCTACTTCCTGAACGTAGAATCGTACATTCGACGACCACCTCCCCTTGTTGGATGTCGGTGCGAAAGAGATTGACGGGGTGAAGTTCCCCATGTATTCGAAATAATTTACGTTCGGGGCATCGATGCATAATACTTGATCCGATTCTTCGATCGAATTGCTAGAGATTTCCACACTGTGTAGGGACAAATACTCTAGGTTAGTGAACTCATGGCTGTGAAAATGAACCTTACATCCCAAAATGTCGATTTTTTCGAGAGTCGGGATGTCGTCGATTTCGACGCTGCATTCGTCTGTTGTGTGGAAAGTGAAGCGCTTGAGGTTTTTATGAAGCTTCGTCTCCAGCTTGACACTTGTCAAATCTCGACAGTCTACGAACGACATAGTTGTGAGCAAAGGGCAGCTCGATATTATCTTGTCCAGAATCTCTTGCTCGATCAAGACGCTTTGGAGGCGAAGTACCGTTAGACGCACAAAGGGTATATTGTCCGGAATATCTCGGCCCAAATTGCATGAACGCAGACGCAGGCGCTTGAGGGGTTCGGCTTTAAAGACTACCGACGACAAATCCAAGTGCACATTGTTTGACACGACCGAAAGACGGAACGTCTTTACGCCCATTGTCGTGAACCTCGGGACCCATTTCTCGAGAAGCGAAACCGATTCTTGATACGGATCGTCTAGCGATATACGAAGGTGGAACTTCTCTAAACACAACCCTTGATCTTCTTGATCACAGTATCGCTGTAAAGTAGTATCCAAAACGGAGAGGAATTTTCGTTTGTTACCTTTGAAGGTGTTGTCTGAAAAATCGAGATTGGGACGAGTGCACCAAATATTACGCCACAATTTCGACAAGACAGATGTTCGGACAGCGTCTTCTTGGGAGAGGAAATAAAGTATTCTCTGCAAGATGTGTTTCGGCAACTCGGATATCCTGTCCATGGTGATGGAACCATCGTCTTCCGCTTTGGCCTTTTTCATACCTCTTGTAATAAACCCTAGATATTTTGTCTGCTAAATAAACCTTCAAATCAAGTTTTTTTAGAGTAAAATATAATAAACGATCGTGGGTGACCGCCGTTGGAGATTGACCCTTTTTTTTTGTGTGTTAGGGTTTGCAAAATTATAATAATCCAAAGGATAATAAAATGCACTTTGACCCCTATGAATTTCTCATTTTTGTACTTTCCTCCCTACAAATTAAAAAAAGGGCAACCCCTTCGAAATACTATTTTGGTTGCACTTTGTCCAGGAAGCCAATTTTTAGAGGGAATTGTGCAGCAAAAATAATATAGAGGAGTAACATGCAAAAAAGTAGTGTGTTTAAGGAGTAAGGTGTAACAAAAATAACACTTAAATGGGCAACGTGCAACAAAAATACTCAATTGCGATGAATAATCCATCGAAGTTTTGCTATCTGCTATCGGGGCAACGTGCAACCAAAATAACATTTTGAAGGGGGACATTCACTTTTAAAATTTTTGAGGGGTAAAGTGTGAAAATTATAAATTTACAGGGGGCGATGTGCAATTTTCCCTTATCATGACAGAATAAGTTTATTCTTGGGACAAAATGCAGTTCACCCTATAAATTTTTCATTTTTGCACTTTCCCCCCTAAAACATAAAAAATGGATAACCCCTTCAAAATATTATTTTGGTTGTTCTTTGCCCCAAGAGCCAATTTTTGTTGGGCATTGTGCAACAAAAATAACATTTTAAAGGGGTAACTTGCATAAAAAATAATGTTTTCAAAGGACGAGATACAACAAAAATAACATTTAAAGGAACATGTGCAACAAAAAACACTTGGTTCCAGTGAATAATCCATTAAATTTTGCTATTGGGGCAACGTGCAACAAGAATAACATTTTGAAGGGGGACATTTACATTTCCAGAATTTGAGGGGGTAAAGTGTGAAAATAAAAAATTTAGAATTTTACAACTGCGGTTAACTGATGATTATCACTGGGCTGTGGAATGTCGAATTAATCCGAGAGATGTTTTACCAAGAAGATTGCAGTGTCATCCCCACTGGAAATAGCATAGACGTAGATTGCTACATTTGGCATTTTAATCGAAACGGTGTCTGTTCTCAGTCCGAAGCTAGCACTTATCATCTTGCAACAAAAATCAATCGGGATGCAATGGCTACATAAGCAATAGTACAAGTGCTCGACAAACGAGAGATTGCAAATGGTTGTGGGTGTTGAATCTCAGTGAGTTCCTTTTTATTCCCTTTCTAACTCAGCATGCCCTCTGGTGTACGAGTGGTGAGTTATGTCTCTCGGACGAGCGACAAATGCAAAACACTGTTCAGATTACTACAATTATTGCCATTAAAACCAAATCTTGCTGCCAGAAATCTTGAATTGTCGTAAGATTATCGAAATTTCCGATGATCCTTATGCACCAACTTATTGGTTTTCACCCCTTCACTGTCGTGGAACCACATAGTTCGAATCATAGGGCAGCTTGATATTATCTTCTCGAAAATCGCTTTCTTGATGAAGACATCGCGCAAAGACGAAGAAAATTCTAGAAGCTTTAAAGGTACCTTGCCATGAGGGGCCTTTTCGTCCAACTTGCATCTATAGATATACAATCAAGTACTCTGCAGACACTTAGCTTGTAACCAAACATAACACTATACTAAAGAATAAATCAGAAACGACATGCGAACTGTAAAGTGAACTCTCGTCTCGTAAACAAACGAACGACACAACAAGCCAGCAAAATTTGTCTCAAAATCAATAAATAGACAGAAAAAAGAAACAAACTGTGTATATCGCAAAAAAAGATTTGTCGTCTATGATTCTGAAAGCTTAGAATTGCACTCACAATCTCGATCCCTCCATTGCAACCGAACCCGAAACTCCTTATCAAATCCTTCAATGGTTAAATCCTCCAAATATCGCCGGATTTCTTCGTTTCCACTTTCCTTCATCTTTTGGATCTTGCAGAAAAACTCATCGAGTTCCTTCGCCTTCCTTTCTTTGCTCCAAGGTCCATGCACCCACCGCGGGATTAAGTAGCTCGGGCGACAGATACAAAACAATCCATTTAAAAAAGACGAAAACGAAGATAAATGACCGATATCCAATTCCAAACACAACACCACAACGGGTTTATTACCACCATTAATAATATCCTGTACTAGAATCTCGTCTTCAACGACGTGCACATTGTTCGTGGCGAATTGAAAAATACTCAACGAAATTTCGGACCGACGTAAACCATGGAGCAGTTTACTTAGTCCGAGGAACCACGACCGAGCATCTTCTTCTACATCATCATCCCGAATATACAGACTTAAATTTGACACCATGGAAGCTGACGCGAAAGATATCGACGGAATTAAAGATCCCGAATATTGGAAATATAAAATGTTGGGGGCATCGATACACAACTGAGATTGTACGATTTCCACACCCCGTAGAGTTATAATCTTTAGATTACTGAACTCACGGCAGTTAAACCGAATCTTGCAGCCGATTATCCTGATTGTTACAAGAGTCGGGACGTCGATTTCGATACTGCATCCTGCGTGATTCGTTCGGTTAATGAAAGTGAAGTGCTTGAGATATTTGTGAAGCTTCTTCTCCAGCTTCACAGTTTCCAGCCCCTTACACTCTTGTAACCACAGATCCGTAAGCAAAGGGCAGCTCGACATTATCTTGTCGAAAACCCCTCTCTCGTGCAACACGACGTGCGAGAGCTGGAGTACTTGCAGACGCACAAAGAGTATATTCTCGGGAATATTCTTCCCCAAATTAAATCTATACAGATGCAAACTCTTGAGCGATTCGGCTTTGAACACCACAACCGGCAAATCGATGAATTCCCGATTGCTGTAATCGGAAGGGATTGAAAGGCGGAAGTCCTTTACGCCCATATCCGCGAGTAACGGGATCCATTTCTCGAGAAGCGAAACCCATTCGTGATCTACCAGCAATATCGAAAGGCGAAATTCATCCAAGCACAACCTTTGATCAGAGTACAGCTGCAGAGTATTGCCCACAGTGGATAGAAATTGTTGGTTGTTACCTTTGAAGTTGCTGTCTGAGAAATCGAGATTGGGGCGAGTGCACCAAATGTAGCGCCATGATTTGGACAATACAGAGGTTCGGACAGCATCTTCTTGAGAGAGAAGATACAGAATTCTCTGCAAGATGTCTTTTGGCAAATCGGATATTCTGTCCATGGAGTTTGGATCCTGCGTCCAAGAAACCCTAGTGAAAATTTGAAATCGAAAACAAAAAACACATCTTTATAGGATATGTAAGTATATTTTTACCTGGAAATTAATACGGAACCGCTCCACCCGAGAAAAACGGAAAAGCGCCGGAGATTTTTAGAGAGAAGGACGGCGGTATACTGGTATTCGACAGCAACTCCGGCGATTTTTAGATGAAAAAAAGTGGTGGTAGCTGGCAGAGATTTCAGACTCTTTTTTTCCAGAAAACTTCTTTTTATTGCACTTGATTCCCTGTATTAGGTCGAATTACTAAAAAAAGCATTCTATATTATCTTATTGGCGGAACCACCCCTAGAATTGAATTTGTTTAGCACACGAACCCCTACACCGGGACTGGGGTATTATAATTGTTAAAAAAATTAAAGGGTGAATAGCGCTTAAACCCCCTGTAGTTACAAACTTTTGCAGATGATCACTCTACGCTCGTAATATCAGCACATAACAACCTTCTTGTGGTTTATGGGGTAACTTTTGTTAATTTTTCCGTCAAACTTAACCGTGTGCGTCAAACTTCAAGGGGGTCATGCAAAAATGAAAGCACAAGGGGCCATCTGCAAAAATACACTTTGACGTTTTACACTGACGGTTAAGATTGACGGCAAAATTAACGGAAGTTACCCCATAAACCACAAGGGGTTATGTACTGATATTACGAGCACATTGCCCAAAATCATAGCGGGATTTTTTTTTTTTTTTTGAGTAATTCATAACATATGGTAGTTTTTTTGCCCAAAATAACACATGGGTATTGATTGTAATAAACTCGACCTATATTCTTATGTACATAATTTGTTCCGTTCGAATTCGGAATTAGTAATAAAATTATTAGAAATTTCAATTTCCTATTCGATTTAATGGCCGAAAAGAACTCAAAATATTCCAAAGGTTTTTTTTTTGAAAATATATATATAAAATACAATTTTCATTCCTCAAGTTTGCACCAAATTCAAATTTTGTCCCTCATGTTCACCAGAAATACATTTGGTCCTTCATGTTTCAAAAATTCAACATTTTTAGCCATTTCGTCAATTTTCCGCTAGTACTAACGGAATCAAGCTTGTTCCTATCATTGCCTTAACTAACGGGCTAACGAAAAATGATCAAAAGTGTTACACTATTGAAACACGAGGGACCAAATGTGTTTAATATGAACATGAGGGATCAAATATGAAATCAGTGCAAACTTGAAGGATGAAAACAATAATGTTCCCAAATTATATGCATATACAAATACAATAGCAATATATTTCATTAAAAATTAGACTACTTTTGTCTCATAAATTCTTAACATCTCAACTTTTTCTTGCACCAAAAGGCGAAATCCCTCGCCCCATGCCTCCATCCCTTGGCCCGACAAGTATTTGATGGAGAAATGTAAATTATGGTAACTCAACGGCCCGTTAAGGTAGCGGACCCGGACCTGGTGCCCACAAGGAACCAACCCTCACTGGAGTTGAAATTCCCATACTGCGGCTGCGAGAATTCGATCCTAGGACCTTGCACCAACTTACCACATCCGGAACCAGTTGTCGTTTCAAAGTCTCATCATCTCATTTCCCGTTGATTTGTTAGATATAGTAATGATAATTTTATATTATCATTGTGGATAAATCTGACTTTGGTTTGTGAACAAATATGCCATAACATATAAATCATGAAAAATATAATTTTCAGCCCCTAAGTTTGCACCGATTTCACATTTGGTCTATATGTTCACAAAAAACACATTTAGTCCATCATGTTTCAATAACTCAACACCTTTTGTCATTTCCGTCAATTTACTATTAGTCCGTTAGTTAAGGCAGTGAAGGATACAAGCTTGGTTATGTTAGTACTAACAGAAAATTGACGGAAATGACTACAAATGTTGAATTTTTGAATCATGAGGGACTAAATGTCTTTTTTATGAACATAGGTGGCCAAATGTGAAATAATCGGTGTAAATTTGAGGGATGAAATTTGTATTTCTCCCAAATATAAATCGTATTGGATAAAAAGAAAAGGTATTTTTAAAAAAATATAATAAAATTTCAAAATCTGGAATGTTTCTTGATTTTTTTGAAAAATCCGCAATGCGATAAGATATCCGAAAATTCCAAGGCTTTCCGAATATGAAACGGACTTTCAGATTTTGGAATTTTTGAACCGGAAATAGAAGCATTTTTTCAAAATATGAAAACCAGAATACCTTTATATGCGACGGTTTTATAACCGTTGGGTAAACAAGGTGTTGTATAAACACTAAAATGCTTTATAGCTTTGAATCATTGACAGCGTGAAATATGTAGTGGACAAAAACAGGGGATGAAGGGAAACAGAGCAGGAGAGATAGAGAGGAGAGAAGAAATTAATTTTATTTTTTGGGAAAAATACAGTCTTCACCAGTCAAGTTTGGACCGATTACATATTTGGTCCGCCATATTCACAAAAAACACAGTTGGTTCCTCATGTTTCAGTAATGCAAAACTTTTAGTCATTTCCGTCAATTTCCCGTTAAAACTAATGGAATCAAGCATGTGACCATCACTTTCTTAACTGACGAACTAACGGTAAATAGATGGGAATGATCAAAAGTGTTAAATTATGTTTTTTGTGAACATGAGGGATCAAATGTGAAATCAATGCAAACTTGTGGGGTGAAAATTGTAATTTCCCCATTTTCTTTTACAAGACAAGTTCTTGAGGAAAAATAGTTCTAAATACTGAGAATAAACCTTAATCTATGTAAAGTTAATGCACACAACGTAAAAGTAAGACACTGCTTAAAAATAAAACTAAAAATAAAAAAACTAGGATCAAAGTCTCACAAAGTTGGTCTCCATGTCAATGCAAAGCGAGCAGGAATTTGTTTGTCGCCAGTTTCGCAATTCGAACAGAGTTATCGGACGCCACTCGTTTCGATACTTGTCGTGAATTTCCAATCTCACTTCCTCCAAATCTTGTTTCCACAACTTTCTAAATCGATCATCTCCGTCTCCACACTCTCTCTGCATTAGAATCTCCCACAGACACTGGATGTGATTCATCTCCCATCCGTAGCCGCAGTCGAGAGAGTCATAGATAATTCCCGGACGACAAACGCAAAACATAGCATTCATGAACGATGAAGAAATCGAATATGAATAAAAACCCAAACCCAAACCATCCACCACAACCGGTTTATTACCACAACCGTTATCGTCTCGTACCGCAATGTTATACACGTGATTAACGTTCAGAGAAATCTTGGATTGGCTTAACGACTCGAGCAGTTCCTTCAGCTGGAGGAGCCACAGAGAAGAATCATCATCCGAAATGCACACACACTAGGTCTATAAGCGAACGCCACTCTCCGGAAGTAGTTGCTGCAAAAGAGATGGATGGGATAAAGTGCCCACGGTATTCGAAATAGTTTATTCTCGGGGCATCGATAAATATCTCGACTCCCTCGAGCCCAAAGCATTCCGAAAGAGTCAGAAGCGTGAGGCTCGGGAATTTACACGCGACAAGTGGTCCAATGACGAATAGACACCCGTCAGAGATAAACTAGTGAGATTACAAAAGTCCTCCTCCTTTGAGCAACGGAATATTCCATTCATCAGAATCGACAATTTCAAGAGACGGGGCATGGGTTTTGATGGTAGAATCAATATCGTCGTCACTGATGAAGACTTGTTTGAGACGAAGTATTCTTAAATTCTTCAAGAGTTGTATTCTTCGAATAGCCTTTCGGTCCAACATGAATCCCCGCACACGCAAATCTTTGAGTGGTTCAGCTTCAAAGACTACAGGCGGCAGATGCATAACGCCCGGATAGCTTTGCGTACCAATCCAAAGTCGGAACTCCTTCGTACCCATATTTGTGAGCAATGGGATCCATTTCTCGAGAAGCGAAATCGATTCCTCGTAAAAATCACGGTCTAGCAATATCGAAAGGCGAAATTCCTCTACGCACAGACTTTGATAACAGTATAGCTGTAAAGTCTTGTCCACAGCCGTTAGAAATTCTTGTTTGTTCTCTTTGAATGCGTAGATTGAAAAATCGAGATTGGGGCGAGTACACCAAATATTACGCCATGATTTTGACAAGACAGATGTTCGGACAGCATCTTCTTGAGAGAGGAAATAAAGTATTCTCTGCAAGATGTCTTTCGGCAAATCGGATATCATGTCCATGGAGTTGAAACTGTCTTCTCGTTCTGGCCTTTTCATGTTGTTATACTGCTTGGATTATTTTTCAGCTTCTGATTAATAACCCCTAATTAAATCATTAAAACCCCTTTTTATAGAGGGATACGTGGCAGATTACCGTGTCCAATTAGGATTTGCAAATAGAGGCGTACATCAAATTATAAACTTAATTTCATGAATATAAGATCAAGACCTATATGAATTATGAAGCGTAGAATGATTACGGCCGCCCTTTGCGGTAAATTCAAATTACAAAAAAATTCTTCTCGTTTTGGTAATTAGCCTTTTCTCCGTGCGATGCACACGGGATATTATTTAAATAGTGAAAAAAAAATAAAATCAATTTAATATATAATAAGAAAATATAGTACATTAATATAGTAAAATTTAATAATGTAGTATTATTAGTATTGAATTTCTAGCTTTATCTCTTGAGATTAGAGATATATTGATGAAAATTAGGAGATCAATAATTGTTGAAAATTATAGTTAAAAAATTAGTTCATAAAAAATATTAAAAATAAATAATTACATAAGTAGCAACAATGTAGGATTCTTCACGGGTTAGTTTTAATTTTGATAATTGTTAAAAAGGGTAAATTACACCCACACCCCTGAGGTATGCTTAAATAATTTTAAGGTCCCTATGGTATCGATAATTACAGTCACCCCCTGAAACGTAGTTAGAAACTCTAAGGGCTCTTTTGGTTGGATGGATGGGATTGATAAAATTTTAAGGATTATATAATTTACCACTGTTCATGATTATATAGTAACCAAAAAATCAGGTTTGGTTTGTAGGATTTACCTATGAAGGACAACTGCAATGTGATGTTTGGTTTACATGATTCGGACTGATAAAACTGGAAATGACAAAATTATCCTTCCCATTATTTGTATAGAACTCATTTCAATCAGTTTCATTTTTTAGAAACCTTGTGTCAAGATCCAATGAGAGGAAACCATGTATTCTTCAAAATTATTGAAAATTGGCACTAAATTAATATAATCATATTACACAATTGCAAAGAATTTCGTTGTTTTGCTATTTGCATAAAATAGTTTACTTCAAAAAGTAGAGTGAGAAATTTTTATTTATGAGTATTCTTCCAGAAAAAAAAAAAAGGGGAGGACTACAAGTTACTTGTGTTAATTTAAAAAATAAATAAATTTGTTAAATTGAAAAATGCAGTTCAGACCACTAAAAAACACAGACGAGAAAGAATGCAATTCAGCAATTTTTTTGTTCTTATGCCCATGGTATTTACTTAACACACACACACACACACACTTTTTCTTGGCCTCCCTCCAAAATAATTTCTCAAAATCGCTCATATTTTTTTCCGGCAAAATCGCTCATATTTTTTTCCGGAAAAATCTCGTATTTTCATTGTTTCTTGAATCAACAATAATGGCAGCGAAAACCCCATCAACTGCAATAACAAACCAACAACAATACAAACAATTCCTCATAAGCTACAACCCCAGAATCAGAAAACGATCGAACAACAATAACAACGAATCAAAGAGGTTTTATCTCTTTCGATCTTGTTATCTGGCCAAATAAATGAAGGGTTAGTTTTAATTTTGATAATTGTTAAAAAGGGTAAATTACACCCACACCCCTGAGGTATGCTTAAATAATTTTAAGGTCCCTATGGTATCGATAATTACAGTCACCCCCCCTGAAACGTAGTTAGAAACTCTAACGGGATAATGCATTGGATACATTATTCCGATAGGGTTCTAATAGACTATTGTTTTTAGCTAGTGGTGGAGATAACATAGAGTTATGGGGAGTAATGGGGTGGCATGACTCCCCCAATATTTCTTAAATCACCCATAACTCTTTGTTGTCCCCACCACTTCCTGAAACCAATAGTCCGTTAGAACTCTATCGTAATAACATATCCAATGCATTATCCCATTAGAGTTTATAACTACGTTTCAAGGGGGTGAGTGTAATTATCGATACCACAGGGACCTTAAAGTTATATAAGCATACCTCAGGGGTGTGGGTGTAATTTACCCTTGTTAAAAATTGTAGTTTTAATTTTAATTTTGTTAATAATTACATAAATATCATTAGGGTTTTTTTAGGGTTGTCCAGCGTTTCTTTTTTATATATATAAGATTACAACCACCCTCTCAACTATAAATTTTCTTACACGTCAATTTTTATGGTATCAAATTCAACATAATCTTACAAAAAAATCCCTTTTATTTGGGTAATTACAACCACCCTCTCAACCATAAATCTTCTTACACGTTCACTCGTTTTGTGCAAAAATATAATTTCTGATGCATCACAATCTGATATTTACAATCCAAAAGACACATATGATTATCTTGTTTCAAAATGTGGAGCGAATGTGGTAAAACGGGTACAAAATGGATAGTATTTTACACAAACTAAAAGATTCCACTAAATTTGACACATCAATCGTGGACATGTGTAAAAAGATTATTTATAGTTGCGGGGTGGTCATAATTACCCAAACATGAAATGTTTTTTCGTAATTTAACCTCACCTGAGGGGTGGCCGTAATTTACCCAATTAATTATTTTGTAAAGAACACTTAACCCCATGTGGTTACAAGCTTTTGCTGATGACACCCTTGTGCTTGTAATATCAAACTCATAACCCATTTCTGGTTGATGGTCGTAGAATTCGTTAGTTTTACTGTCAAACTTAACTGCGTGTGTCAAACTTTAAGGGGGTCGGTCATCTACAAAAATTAAAGGGAAAATGTAAGAGCAAGGGGGTCGTTTTAAAAAATGTAGTATTTGGATATTTGAAACGCACAGTTAATTTTGATTAACGAACTAATGGACGCTACCCCTATTAACTACAAGGAGGTTATGTGCTGATATTGAAAAGCATAAGAGGGTCATCTGCAAAATCTTGACATAAGAAAGTTTTTATCAAAGATTAATCGGTAGAGCAAGAGAGCGCATATCAAATAAACTGTATCTACTTGCCAAGAAAGTTTTTACCTCCGGCCACGAAAGGTGTCACGATCTTGACCATCGGTCAAGAAGGCTACAAAGATGATAGAGTGTTCACCATCGATCGTCCAAACAATTCATCAAACGTGACAATTTTCTCCATAATTTTATACATTCCTTTGATATTTTGTCTTTTGTTCTGAATACTAGGGGAATTGGAGTCGTGAATACTGGAGTCGCGAATAATTGGAGGTAGCTCTTCTCCATCGATCTTTTCGTCAACTTGGGAAGTGAATATTGTGGATGTAGGAACCCTAAGTAACTGAGGGAAAGCCGAATTCTAAAGCGGAAAAAAGAAAATGACATGTACACCCTTAATCCAGCGAAAATTAACTCGAAAATACACATTTGGGGCAAAATCAAGGTTGTAAAAAGCGGTAATCGGGTCGGAGGCGGTCAGGGACCGACTCACGATTAATCGGTGCGGTGATGATTAATCGGTGATAAGTCGAAAATAAATCGGTTTTTAAAATTTAGTATAATACATTTGTAGATAGTATTTATAAATACTCAAAGCATAGAAAAAAAAGAAACATAGTTTTATCTCGATCATGTATATATCCTAATAACATAATAAAAGTTTAATAATAGGGATAATTAGCAAGAACCCCCCATCTAGGAAAATGAGTTAAGGAAACACCCTCTCCCAAAAATAATTAGAGAAAACTCCTTAAGCTAATATCCACCCAAGTGATATTTTCATAATTCCAAAACCACCCTTAATTGTCTACTATACTCTTTCAAAACCCTAATTTTATTTTTTTCTTTTCCGTCTCTTCTCTCGCGTCTTTTCTCTGTTTTCTTTCTCTCTTTTATACTTTTCTCTCATTCTCTCTCATCGGAAGATGAAGAACCAACCACCAACATCACCGCCAGAACAACGATGCCAATTCCGTTGAAGCCGTCGTCGTCGTCGTTGCAGATCTTAACAAAAGCCATAAAGATGATGACGATTTTGATAGCGATTCTAAGTTCGAATACCACGATTGCTACATTGGCGGCGAAAAGAGGTAAAATTGTCAATCGGAATCGAATTTTGATAGGTGGTGGTTCTGCTTTAGTTGGTGGTGCGAGTTGTGATTTTATTTATTTATTTGTAATAAAAAACTGTCATAATATCAAAGTAAGGTGGTGATGGTGTATTGTGGCGGCGGTGTGGTGACGATGGAGAGGCAGATTTAGGGTTTTTTGGTGGATTGGGCGGATGACAGTGCGTGTAGAGAATTTCGCGCATGCTAAAACCTTAATCGACTATGTACACGTTCATAGTCGATTAAGCTAATCGACTATGTTCTGGTAGTCGATTAAGGTTGATCGACTCCATTTTTTTATTTTTATTTTGAATTTTTTGTTTATTGATTCCAAGTGTATAAATCAATTATAATGTTTGTATATCTTTTGTTTTTTGTAAAATATAGTTGATTTTGCATTTTTTCGCAATTGTGATTTGTTATATTTAGTAGCAGATTCTTAATCGACTATGCTTCATCATAGTCGATTAATATACATGATATAGAAAAAAAAAAAACAAAAAAAAATTAAAAAATTAAAGATTTTCCTTAATCGACTATGAAGCATAGTCGATTAAGGCTAATCGTTACAACGTTCCCAATTAGAAATGTCAGATTTCTCTGTCGGAATTGGGTGTGACCCATCAACGAAACCAAGCTTATTTTTGGCACGAAGTGCCATTGTGACTGCACGACTCCATGATCTGTAATTATCTCCTGTCAACAAAGGTGTGACAAGGATAGTGGAAGGACTATCGGAATGATGGATTGTGTAAAAATCGGTTATGATGGTGTAGCAACAAAATCTTATCTGCGATTTAGACAAACAAGAAAAACTTGCACAAAGATAATTTATTAGATTAAAATAAAATATTGCGGGTTACAAACTCTAATTTAATCCTCTGATTCTTCTCTCAAGAACAATATGCGTTTGACTTTGAATTTCGGAGTCGGGTCGTTGACTTGATCTTCTCCGGATTTGATTTGGATTTGAATAACGTC